ACCCATAATGGATACAGTAGTGGGATCCGCTAGGTGCCCTACAGCGCACATGCTCAAGCAGAACAGAGGAGCACGCACTGAGTCTAGAATGGAGAAAGACAGGCTGTGAGCGCTCTTTCCCTCTTTCTCAGGAAGTGCTCCAGGCCCACGGCACTCTCGAGAGTTGTGCAAGGGTCGGATACTGCACGCACGTGACTGCCTTTCCCAACAGGATGTGCAGCTGGCCTGAGAGAGAGCTAGGACTCTCCCTCACTTTTGTTTGGGACAACAATCTGAGCTCGAGGGACCTTCTTAGCTCACCTTGCATTTTGCTGCACAGCTAAAACAATGTCATGGAGCTGCTTTGAGGCTATGTCATATGCGTAATACCTGGTGGGAAGAGTTCCTGCTAAGACAGCTCAGAGACAGCTGGCTTGGCTCACGCCCTGCCGTCCCTGCACAGGTGACAGGCTTGTGAATAATCCTTCGTCCATCAGATGAGGTCAAGCACCTGGAATGGTTTCACCTATGCAGGAAAGAGCCACAACTTTAGGCCCCTTTTCTCTGAGCAGCCCTTCTCAGCCTTCACGACCAGTGGGGGACACAGATACACGATGCCTTGAACCAGTGAGAAAGGAGTGAGAGATGAAATCGAAATTAACAGCAGAAAATTTCCGTAGGCTGGATGCAGGACTGAGAAAGAAGGCAGGCTACCCCAGTGGGGGCACATTTAGCTCAAATGTGCTGACGCTTGCCCTGCACTCCCCCTGTAATATCATAGGGTAGCATAGCACACGCTAGACAAATGTGCCGTGCAAGTGCACAGCATGGGATGTGGCAAGGGCTGTGTTTTACAAAGATGACAGGATATTTGGTATTTCTGCAAGAGAAGAAGTTGTGGGGTATGCTAGGTAATATTGCGAAACTTACAGTAAACGCCGTATAGGATAGTTGTGAAGTAATGCCAGCAAAGTGCAAGGCCCGTGAACATGGAAAGTGCTTAATAGGCATTGGCTGTTGTTTTCACCAACCTTCTAGGACCTCCGAGGCTGCAGCAGCCTTGTGGAGCAGCACAGCCTACTCCCTTGGTTATGTCAAGCTAAGTCACAAGTAGAGCTCATCTGATTCTTAAATGTCACCAAGGATGCTTGGTGGGTGGGGAGGGGTAACAAAAAACTCAGGAAGCATGCAAAAACCACTCTCAAAATGTTTTCTGTATTAGAGAGGTCAAGAAATGGCAACATGTTGTGAAATCAACACATTGGTTGATGAATATTGTGAAATTCGTTTTTGTTTTTTCATTTTCTTTTCTTATACTGAACAAATATGCATTGAATACTGTGTCAGACACACTGTACATCACTCCATCCTATCAGCCCCGCCTCTTATTCTAGCAGGTGCTACAGCACCTGGTCGTCTGCAGGCTTTGCCCAGCCTCACATGGGGATAATCTGACCCCCCTCACCTTGGCCAGTGTGCACACCCCCCTTTTCCTGCATTGGGGATTCTCTGATGCTGAGGTGTGAGATGCCCACAGGACCCTCAGGCATGTGCAACCTGGAAGTACTGGACAAGTACTTCTGACCACACCTGAGTAACATCAGTTACTGTAACATCAGTTAATGAGGTGACTTTTGGACTAAGGATGAGGGCTGGTTTCCAGGGGTTGATTACATACGATTTAGTATTAATTCTGAAACACTAAAAGCAAACCTCAAATCTAACATCGGTTAAGTTAATCAAATGTCTACATATATGATAAACATCAATTCTTCTATACATTTCTGGAATCTACAGGGCTCTGAAAACAGAAACTTTTTCATCAACCACTCTGTGGCAAAATGTAACCTGCAGTGAAGTGACTGATTCATAGTCTTTTTTAATCCATGTAGTATAAACATTTCCATATATTTGCTGCAGAATATTGCTGTGTTTGACCAAAGTATAGCTTTTCAGACATCACTAGGGATGTTAAGCACCTTTTCAAAACTAGAAAACTTTTGTAATACAAAAATAGTCTAACCCCCAGAGATTTTAGATAAGGGACTTGTACCTGTATTATACTAATTAGGAAAAATGCAATGAAACTTTTAGCTCATTCTTATGTTGTTACATTATACATTATATTTAATAAGCAAATGGGAACACTTTAAATTGCTCCGATATGTTTGTGAGGTGGGCTTACCAAAAAAAAAAAAAAAAAAAAAAAAGATCTTAGATGGCTTGTCTTTCCATAACTACTTCCTAACTAGCTCATATCCTAATTTCATCACTTAGTAGCTGTGTTGATCTTGAGTAAGTTATGTAAGGTTTCTAGGCCTCAGTTCCTCCCTTGTAAAATGTGAATATAATATGACATAATAATATGCAAAATATATAATTGCTGATGTCCTTCGGTTTTTTTTTCCTACAAGAATGGCAGATTTACATTTGTCCAACCAATATCTACCCCACAGGGTTGTTAGGAGAACTAATATCTCTAAGACATTAGAACAGTGCTTCCCCGGCACAGGGGAGTGTACTAGGTATGTATTTGTTAAATAACAAATAGAATGGCAGGATGAACTGTATTAATCCTCTTTTCTTAGTTTCTGTATCTTATGATGTTTTGACAACTTAAAAATCTTGACAGCTGGGAGAGACTGCCCCTCCAGGTGAGCCAATCACAACAAGAGCAAAGAGGAATCAGACCTTTTCTTATAAAATCAACTCATATGGAGCCCTTATGTCTAGCCACCTCCTTTATTTAGCTCTCACACACCAAGCAATATTTCCCTCCCCTAGATCATGCCAAGGCCAGGTACCAGATCACCAGAGATCATCCCTGGATTCCCAAACCTGCTGATTTACTCAGGCTAGCCGACCTAAACTGCATACTCGTGCTTTGCCCTCCTTTCCAGAAACCCAGCGAAGGTTCTGGCATAGTTATTTTTTTCTTTTTTTCTCTTTGAGACAGTCATACTCTGTACGCCCGGGCTAGAGTAGCTGTGTGTCAGCTCACTCACAGCAAACCTTAAACTCTGGCTCTAGGAATCTTCCTCTCAGCCTCCACAGTACGCTGGGACTATAGGCACACGCCCCCCATCCGGCTATTTTTTCCTATTTTTAGTAGAGGGGGTCTCACTCTTGGCTAAGGCAGCTCTCAAGCTTCTGACTTCCGCAGCAGTCCTCCCGACCTCGGGCCTCCCCAGGATGCTAGGTTCAGGTGCCCGGCCTCTGGTATAGGTTTTTCCCTCCCTCATGCTCATGCCTCCTGATCAAAACCTGACGCTTCCATTGGGCCCCTATGGCTCTGTGTTCCTTCCTCCTATTGAGAAATGGTAAGTAAATAATTTCTCTTTTATCAATGGCATTGGCCTCTCTGTATTGATACTCTCTATCACCTCCATCCAAATTAAAATCCCATGGGTACAATGAGACAGTGATTTTGGGTGACATCACCTGCCTGGCTGGCCACCCCTCTTCGCTTTACACCAAATCCAAAGTTTTATGCCTAGATGGGTTTCTACAGTCTAACACCATCAGGAATATATGGCCTTCCTTGCACAAATTGCAGTTAATTGTGCGTTCTTTTTATCTAGCTAAGAACATGAGAGCTAAGAGAAGGTATCCGATATTTGTGTCCAAAATGGACCAGTCAAGTCCAATGTGGGTGGTAAATTATTTTTTCAGGACAAGCTGCAGACTGAGGCAGGTCTAACCCTGGTGCTGCTTTTCAAGTCAGTGCCATAATCATCGTCTGGACAGAAACTAGTCCAGGCAAGCAGTGGAGTCCTCTGCATCTCCCTCAGACAAAGGGGAATACTGGATACACGGACCAGGCCACTAGGGAGAGGTTCACGTGGACTGCACCGCTGTATGGACCCGGGCACTGGAGATCCAGGGCAGCAGCAGCTGATGAGACAAGCCTCGCAGGGCAGCCACGAACCTAATCCTCTCCCGTGGAGTCCAGAGCTGCCTGAGGATCCTGGCCACAGGAACCCCAGCTCTGTCCCTATTATTTATAACAGAGCCAGGAAGTCATAGGGCAGACAGTCCAGAATGTAGTTCTTGGCTATATATATGTTAGCCATGTTAATTCTAAAGAGGAACAAGCTAAGAAATGAGCAAGGAAGTAACAGCAAGTTGGATGTGAGTTGTCCTAGTGGAATTTGGAACTGTCCCAATGGGTACGGCAAATGAGAGTAGAATATTCAGAGGAAGACTCTTTCCCAGGGAGGTCATTTAATCCTCTAACATGTGAGCCTTACAGGGTGGAATAGGGGAACTATCTTCCATTCCCAACCCTCATTTGAACTTGATGACACTGCCTT